AAGGTAACCTTGGGATCCTTGGTTTTGAAGTGGAGGTGGAATGTACTTCCTTTGAAAACCGCCTTCGGAAGGGTTTGAGTCATCTCCTTGGTTTTTCTAAGAGAAATCCGGATGATTCCTCCAACTTGGATTATAATGAGTACCATAAGGATTGTTCCCTTGGTTCACAAAAGCTGCATTGACTTATTCATTAGGTTCATTTTGCACTTGTCCGTGAGGACAATGAGAAGTAGAATTAAGAACACTAGAACAAGTCATATATGTTTCATTTGATGCACGATGAGAATGGTTAGGGAAGGAAAATACTTGGTTCGCCGAGTTTTGGTTAATTAAAAATTGATCAAACCTTTAAGATAAAGACTTCATTTCGGCGGCTATTTCATTTGAATGGTCAACTTGATGTAAGCTAACACTCTTCCTACCTTGTGAATTTCTACCATTCTTGGATAATAATGTTCAATGCAAAGAATTTTCACTCATGCTCTCGTAAAGACGTCACATGTCATCCTCATGCCTATCAATGTATGAACCACCCATGGAAGCATCAACCATACCCTTATAGTTGTCCGATAAGCTCTCAAAGAAATATTGAACTAATTGCCATTTGGGCATGTCATGATGTGGACACTTCCTAAGCAACTCATTGAAGCATTCCCATGCCTCATGAAACGTTTCTCCATCCCCATATGAAAATTCTCGAATTGAGGTTCTCATGGCATTGGTCTTAGAAACTGGATAGTACTTTTTCAAGAACTCTTGCTGCATTTCTGCCCAATAAGTGATTGAAAAAGGCCTAAAATTGTTAAACCAATACTTTACCTTGTCTTTTAAGGTGAATGAAAAAAGTTTGAGTCTTAAGACCTCTTCCGGCATAACCGTATATTTTACGGTGGAACATACTTCAAGAAACTCATCCAAATGCTTGTAAGGTTCTTCACTTGGAAGTTCATGATAGTTAGGAAGCATTTGAATGGTTTGTGGCTTAATTTCATAATGATGTGCTCTAAATGGAGGCAATTGGATGCATGTAGGTGCATTATACTCATTAGGCACATAATGGTCTCTTAAAACAAGAGGTGGATTAGCTACTTGAGGTGCAACATGAACACCTTGGTTTTGAATTCCTTGATTGATGATGGGAGGTTGTGGAGCATATATTGGCCTTGGCATTCCATATGGAACTTGGCCTTGTTGTTGTGGTGGTTGGTGAATGAATGGCCTAGGCATGCCTTATGGTACTTGTATGTTCTCATTGTGCACATTAGGATGAAGAATACCTTGTTGGTCTATGTGACCAAGGTCCTCAACATGATCATTATTATGGCCATCCATTAATAGATTGGTTATATTTGAACTTCCTCTTCCCCTAGGATTTCTAACGATGGATTCAAGATGCAAATCAAGAGGGACAAGAGTTGGTCTCAATGAACGACGTCTATGCATGCATAATGCAAAACACAACAAGCACAAAGAATGACAAACACTATGCCTTCACAACAATTTCAATGAAACTTCCTCTATAAACATTTAATTCATACTCCCATGCTTTAACAACAATGATGCAAAGAACAATTAAAAACAAGCCTCCATGCGGGCCGACGATTTAACTAAGGGATTAAGTAAAGAAAGTCTCACAAAGGTCCTTTAGCACTTCAACTCCAAATTTTAAGCTTAGCTTAGCAAATTTTTAGAATTTTTAGCTTTTTTCCTTGCTTGCTTAGCTTGAATGCTCCTTTGCTTACTTCCTCTCCAACAATGCACCTAGTCAAGTAAGAACAATACAATAAGTAACCAAAAAGAAAAATAAAAGTAAAGTAAAGACACGATCAAAAGAGTACTAATCCTAATTGATTCCACAAATCTGATGTTGCCAAATCAAATCGATCAATCCCGGCAACGGTGCCAAAAACTGATGGACGGAGGCCGCACTACCACCAAGTTTGAGAGTGTGAATTTTAAGGTGAGGGCCAAGAGTTTTACATTTATAGAAGCCACTACTACTTTTCACTATAAATATAGCTAGGGCGAGTAGGGATCGTCCCAAGGGATTGTGAGGGTCGGACAAGGTTGTGGAATCGCTATTAGGGCTAGTAGGTCGAGTGATCAAACAATTGGTTGGTTCGTTGATTAGAGAGCAATTAAATTGAATTAAGTAATAACAAATGAATGCAACTAAGAGTAAATAAGAGAGAGAAGAGTCTTGGGGTTTAGAGATCACCACCAAGCAATGCATTTCTATACCGTTAACAAATGACTAATGAGGGCAAATAGTGTGTTGCAACATTGGGGTGTGTGTGTTTGGTTGATTCAACAAGCAAGGATGACTAGTTAAGCATGTATTGTCTAAACATCATGTGAAAGGCACAATATATCTAAGCAATGAAGCATATATTGTCTAAACAACATATGAAAGGCACAATAGATCAAAACAAGTCATTAATCCTTTCATTAAGCTCACAATCCAAATACAACACAAGGTTAGAGACATATGCTACTTGCATTCAAAAGCTTGGATCATCAAACAACAAGCATGGATTGTCCTCCCATTTAACACTACACTACAACTACTCTACATCTACACTAGTAGTATGAAAATAAACTAAGGGAGAGGCACAATCCATCAAGGAATAAGTATGAACCATCAAGAAAATCACAAGAGCATTTTTTTAAGCACTATGTTTTGACAATCTCTAAATTTATAGCATCAATACACATAGACATGCATTAATAACACAAAATCTAGAGACAAGCACATAAACATCTATTCTAGCATACATAGACATATGGATAGAATGAAATGATCAATTGGAAGCATTAACCACATAAATCATTGAATAAACAAGATCTATGTATATCCAAGTGTCAAAACATTAATTACAACACTAATCCATCAATAATACACAAGATTAAGATATAGAAAGCATGTTTTGGGCTAACTCTAGCCCCAAGAGGATGTCTAGCCACTCATGGTGATGTTGCTCCAACCCTCAAGGGCTAACTCCATGGTTGAAATCTGCTCCTTGTTGATGAAGAACTCCAATGGTGTCTCTAGCCTCCTCATCTTTTCTTCTACACTAAGAATAGCCTCTAAAGTTGTATCTACCAAATGCTAAAAAAATTTGTCTCAAAAAGTGCATCATATTCCTTTTATAGGTAGGTCAAGTGGCACACCAAATGAGCTAGGGTTGTGCAAAGAATATTCTCTAATGATTAGATAGAGGACGGATTGAATAAGCTGGCTTTTTAACTTTTTCGCACTGGAGGAAGTTCGATCGATCGAACCTTAGACTTGGATTGATCGAACTTGCTGAGATCCATCGAACTGAGGCTGGATCGATCCAACTGGTTGAACTTTTTGGGAAAAGACAAATCCGAGATATTTTGAGAGATATTTTTGGGAAAAGGACAAAAGTAGTTAGTGGGTGGTACAACTGTGGATAGGATCAATCATTTGGATAAGTATAAAATTGTTCGATCGATCGAAGGGTAGTGTTGGATCGATCAACTTTGGACTTTATGCTTTGGGTCAAGGTTTGGATCTATCTTAAAGTACTGAGATCGATCAGTATTCGATTGATCGAACCATGAAGTTGGATCGATCGACCTTTGCTGCTTCCCACCTTTGGCTTCATTTGCTTCCTTCTTTCTCCACTTTGCTCCTTTCTTTATTTAATCCCAGAATTGCTTCAATTAAGCTCTTATTTGGCTAAGTTAGCCTATTTTCGGGATAAGTGCCTGAAAATGGAAATAATTCGAAATCAATCTAAAACGGTAGGGTAAGATAGATAAAGGTACTAGAATACCTAAGCTTAAGGGGTTTAAATACACACTTTTCAGCACTCATCATTTAAGTATTATTGTTATTTATCATTTTCAATGTATTTCGAGAGCCGTAAGAGTTCATAGGGTCGAAGTTGGGTTGCTTAGGACAGGGGGAATATATGTGTGTGTTGTTGTGAGTTAGGGTGTCTGCAGAGTGAGAGATAACTGAATGTGTATCAACTTGCATTATAATTAGTGGAGCTTACACGGGCCGAGGCCAAGAATCAAAGTTTTTGATCTCTAGTTGAGAGATTTTCCTTGTAAAATCACTGAGCACTTGTGGTTGAATGTGTGAGTCTTGATCATTGATATTTATTCAAGTGTTGAAAGAAGTTTTTGTAAAAAAAAAAATACCAATTCACCCCTTCTTGCTTTATCAATTATTAGTTGTCAATAGCCCCTTTTTTAGATTGAATTAGATTTTTTTTTTATTCTCTTCTTTTTAAGTTTTTCATATCTAGATTCATATCTAATACACATATAAATAAATAGTCATAACTCATAAACAAAATTTATTATTTTATGATAACAAAAAAAAAAAACTATAAAATAATTTAAGTTAAAGAACAATAAAACCAGATGTTAGAAAGGTCCAATGCTCCAACAAAATTCTTTAATCATTCTATTCCTATTTTGTAAAAAAATTGCTACTTTCAAAACTTTGAAGAGTCCTAAAATACCGAAATATGTGAGAATAAAAGTGATTATAATGAGAGAGGAGGGAGATGTGGATTCTCTAGGGAAACACACACACACACATTGTAATGAGAGAGGAGATTAAAAAATGTGAGGAAGATGCAAAATGGTAAATAAAAAAATAAAATTTAATAGGAAATGCCAATGCCCATTTGCAAAGACTATGGCCGGAGAATGGAACCTCCCTAGCTCCTTCTTCGAACCATCACAATCCAACCCCTTCTTCTCCTTTGCCATTACTCCACACCACCACCGCCACCGCCACCACCACCGCCACCATAACGAGTCTTACCATAGATACTTTCAAGTTGTTGATTCCCACCATCCCATTTATTGGTTATTATTGTTTCAGGGGCCTGGGCTTGGGACTTGTTTTGCCAAAGGTTGCTGTTGCCTGTTGCCCTTTTATGAGTGGGCTTTTGTTTGTCTGTGTTGGGTCTTTCATAACCAATCCAACAGTTGGGTTTTGTTTTATATTGCTTGATACATATAATCTTTCGAGAAAAATGGGCATTGTATGTGTGTCTATATATATATATTTTCAAAATGTAGCACAAAAGTACTGTCAATAAAATCAGGATAAAAAATAAAAATTAAAATTAAAAAAAAATTAAAAAAAAAACTAGACTTTTAAAGAAGCACTGTATTTTGCCAATGAAATATATCATTGATGAAACAATGGATTATTATTAGTATTTATTTATTTTCTTAAATAAGATTTTACATATCCAACAAAGTTGCAGAGCAAACCAAGTTACAGGCCATGGCAGACCAAAAAGAAAACCAGAGAGGCTAAATCCAAACAACAGCAAGAATACAAAAGTACATCAAAAAACCAGAAAACAACCACCACCACTTCATCCAAGAGCATACCAACTGTGTGTGTGTGGTGTGTGTGTGTGTGTGTGTGTGAAGAAGATGAGCCAATTCAACTTTAGGCCAAGAATTTTCAAGCACAAGAAGTAGAAGAGGAGTAGAAGGGATCAATTTGATGTGATCAGGTTGAGAAGAATTGAATCTGTTTGGATAAGGAAGGTGATACAAGGTTGGATTATTCTTCACTTGTAAATAAATAAATTTTGCCAAAATTTTGTTCATGCATGGCTTCTTCTGTTACGCTTTCTCGTCTCGGTTTCTTCTTTCTACATCATGCTCTACCACATCTGATTCCCCTCCCCATTGTTTTATTCTTTCACCAGCAATAGAAGCCTGCATTTAGTGCCGGATTAAATTAATCGCACGTTTCACTTTGTTAAAATTATGTTCGGTTGCATGAAATTAATATGCATGTAATTCTAATTACCTCCTTTTTCCAATTTGTTTTATAAATAATCCAGAAAAGGACGAACAACTGTAAAACTGTTCCACACAGCATTCCCCACCAAATTCCCTGAAAATTATCAATAATAATAAATCAATAAGAATCACTATTAAAAAAAAAAAAAGAGATTAATTCATGTGCTTAAACTTCAGGTTATCTTGAAAATGGGATGTACACTGTACGTGTGTGTGATATACCAACATATATGAAGATGTTTCCAAGTCTAGCAAGAACAATAACATCTTTTACTAAATTTTGTAATTTTCCACATTTGTATGTTGTATGGTAACATGCAAAGTCAGAAGGTGATAACATATGAGTCTTTTTTTTTTTTTTTTTTTTTTTTTTTTTTTTTTTTGGGTTAATGATGACATATGAGTCGTTGTCTAAGCAGGGCTGGTCCAAAGTGACCATTTTAAATGCGCCAGTTGGAGCAATTGGGTACACCTTATCAATATGTGCTTAGGGCAGAGTGCCGCTCTAAGGTGGGGGAAGGTATTGGGTGCGCCTGGCGTATCGTGTAACGAGTTCACTTGAGGTATACGTGTTGTGCATGCGCAGGTGTGTGTTATATACGTACGGCTAGGATGAATTGATTCATCATGCACCCGACACACTCAATATCTATTCCTAAGGTTGGTGTTTTTGGGTGTGTTTTTTATCTGAATTCTTGTAAGAGTTTTTTTTTTTTTTGTAATGATATTCTTGCACTTATTATGTAATTCTAATTCTATGATGGAAGTAGTTTTTCATTATTATGGGCTTGTAATTTATTTTGCTCTTCGTGAAATTTCATTATTAATTTTTTTTATAATAAAATAATTCAAAAGTAGAATAATAGAAACCAAATATTAATTAATAATTCTAGTGGAGAGAAGGTGTTATTTACCTTGACGCCCATGCCAAGTTTGTAACCCATGATGAGACCCACAGGGACACCAAACACATAGTAGCACCCAATGTTCACATATGCAACAAGTGCTTGCCATCCTGCTCCTATGGCCACCCCTGCAACAATTCAATCAACCCCCATTAATTCAATTCAATAATCTTTTTTTTCCCGAGCTATTTGGAATCGGTTACATGAATCATGTCCCGTTATTAAACTCCATATCTTAGCTCATAATATCAATCAGTTTCGCAATAATATAAGTATAAGCACAAAGAATTAAAATTTTGAAATTAATAAATACCGGAGAGAGCAGGTTGAACATTGTTAATGACAATGCTAAGTGCTAGCAATGGTGTTAGCTCATATACAAGCTCTTTGACTTCTGCATTGTCTGTAAATATGGACGGGTACTGCTTCTGGGTAATCATCAAAATCATTGCGAGGAAGAGGCCAAACAAGAATGAAGTTATTCCAACCACAATCACCGAGAATTTGGCCGTTCTAGGGTGGGCTGCACCGAGTTCATTTGACACTCTTACTCTGTATATCCAAATTTCAATTAGTAAGAATAGTTAATCAAATTTTTATTATTTTTTTATAGTTAATTTTGTGTTGTTAATATTTTTGGTGCAATTTTTATTAATTGTAGAAGGCAAATAATTGACTAGGGAGGGGCTTGTGTTACAAACCCTACGGCTGCATTCAATCCAATAGCTTCCATGATTATCCAGCCCAAGATGTTCATGCTGCAAATGCAATAATAATGAGGACCACTAGTACAAAGTCTGCAATGTGGTAATAATATTGTAACAACTTATATTATATAATAAGGACCACTACTAAGTCTGCAATATTGTAATAATAGTACTCGTAACAACTTACGAAAAACACCGTCATAAGAAGGGTTGGTGGTGCTCACATTTAGAGTCCCACGTGATTGACTTGATCACATTTTATAAGTACTTTTGCTAATATATTCATTTGCTTCCGCTATGTTAAAAAATAATAATAATAATAATAATAACAATAATAAGAAAAATCGGAAGGGTTGATGTTATCAAGAAGTCATTTCTTTATTCACGTAAATGTAATCAAATTAATTTGACAATCAGACTCTCTGTCACCACTCTTTGGAAAGAAAAAAAAAAAAATTATGATAGAATTTCACAATCAGAATCTCTCGTGATAAACTTACTCAATTTATAAATGGATAATCAGAATCTCCAAATACTTTTCAAAATTCTATTAACACTAATTATTCATAATTTTTAATGGTAATTTTGTATAAGAAAATTAAAGTTGATCTCTTAAAATTTTATAAAGTTCTAATTTTGTGTTACTTATAAATGAGAATTAAAGATGCTTTGTGAAATAAATTATTTATGATTATTTTGAACCTTTTGGCCTTGACTTAAAAAATTCAAATTTAATAATGCAAGTGCTTATTATTTTGTAAGTCTTGCTATATATATATATATATATATATATAAAAGTGTATAAATTATTTGTTATGATTTAAACGGAGAGACAAAAAAAAAAATACTGGGCAATGACAACTTTATTAATGGACTGTTACCTAATATTCTTTTTATTTAATTTTCTCATATCAGTTATAGATTTGTTCTTAAAATGTACATGAAAAATGAACCGAAAAAAATTTATTACAATTATTTTATTTATTTATGAAATTTAACTTTATATCACTATTTGGTCGCCTAATTGAAAGTTTCTGTCTCCACCCTCATCGTGGATTTGGGTTGAAAAATTGAAAATCACAGTTTAGAAGGTGAGAGAGAGCACTTCGGGGCTGAAAATTCTAATCTTATTTGTGTTTTGAAACTCTCGACCTTAGATCGTTGAGGGTCGGTTATACGTGAACCATTTGTATGCCTTATTTTATAATGTTAGTTAATGTGTGACATAACACACTCACCATATGGAGAAGGCGTCCACCGAAACTTCTGCATTCTTTAAAAATCCAGCAAAGAGAATTAATACAGTAAGATACCATATCTCCAGGCTGCATAAATATTGGAAAGATAAGAACATAAATCGGAAACATTGACTTAGAAATAAAGAAACCTATCAACTAATAAATTAATTAAACAGGTGTGACCTTTAAAGTGACTCCATACCGAGGGGACCAGATCCCTGTTATTTGTGGTCATACAGATTTAATTTCACACATATTCAAGAAGAATTCATATATATTATATTATATTTGATTGTAATCTGTGTATATTGTATTTAATGAGACAATAACACTTTAAACAACAAACATGTAACATTAATGTAGTGGTTGTGCATGGAATTCTCAGTTAAAAGAAAACAAGAAAAAAATAAAGGAGAAGAGCGTTTGGAATTGTTTGGTGGACTTTTTAAAAAGGAAAATGCATTTCTTTTTTTAAAGTCAGTTTTCTAGAATAAGTTGAATCAATTCCGGCTATTTTTGTACTTTATGACACCATTTAAGAAGTGATACCATGTTATCTGTGTTAACAATAAAAATACATTTATTTTAAAAGTAAGGTACGTTACCAAAAGAGTTTTCTAGTAAGAAAATTATTAACTCTTTACATTTAAAGACTGAATCGAGTTTTTTAAGATAAATAAAAAATTAAATAAATTATTTAATAAATTTTTTAATTGAGTGATTAAATATAGAGGACTCTTGATCACCAACAATTTTTTTTGGTAGCATTACTCTTATTGGATCGCTAATAAGCCCATAATACTATTATAAACGAATATTTGAGGAGCATTAAAGTATTTTTCGAAAAACTAGTCTCACCAGATCATTACAGCAGATGCAAGAGACAACCTAACGAACCCCCACAGATTCTGAAAGGCCTTCCATGAAAAGCCAGACCAAGCACTACCACAAGTCCCACTCAGGATATACAGAAGCTGAGCCACCACTATGAACCACCATGACAAGTTCAGCACAATGGCTCCACCCACCAGTCCCCACCCCAACTTCAGCATAAACAACCAGCTGAAGAAGGTGTGGAAGAGTAAAGCCACCGCGGAGATCACCGCCATTGCCGTGATCTTGCTCTGCGCCTGCAAGAACTTTGATATCGGAAAGTTCATCGCGTAAGCAAAGAGCTGAGGAATCATCCACACTGCTAAAGTTCCGGCTGCCTCCGATATCTCATCTGTCTGTCCGATGAGCCTCAAAAGCGGCGCGGCGAAGATGTAGACTTGCATCAGTATTAGGGCAGTGGCATTGAGGATAAGCCATGATCTCTGCATGTAGATCCCTAGCATATTGATCTGCCCAGCTCCAAAAGCTTGTCCACAAAGTGTTTCCAGTGCACTCCCCATTCCCAACTGTTGTTCCACTAAAATTCATTAATTAGTACTGACAATTTAATATGAATTCAAAACTAATAATATATTAGCAACTTTTAGAGTATGATACATTTCTAGGTGAGGAAATCATAGTATGATACATCACTTATAATTAAAATATAAATATAAAAAATAAAAATATTGTTATTAATTATGATAGCAACAACATAGTACTGCAATGGATGGCTATGATCGCTTTATAGATCATAGCAGCATCTTATAGAGAATCCAAGACTTATTATAAGTTGTGAGTGAATTCTTGCAACATGCAGTATGGTACTGTATAGCAGCGGACGACTGTGAGTGCTCCATTACTACACATAACAATGTAATTACAGAAGATCAAGACTCGTTAGAAGGTGTGAGTGAATATCCTAGTGTGGTATTGAATCGCAAGGGATAGTTGTGATCGCCCGTTTAAGGATCCCAACCTCTTAAAAGTTGTGAGTGGATCCTCACAACATGCAGTATGGTATTGTATTGCAAGAGACGACTGTGATCACTTTACAGATTATAGTCTTACATTATAAGTAAGGATCTAGACTCTTAGAGATCGATGCATCTCATAATAGAATATCAGATGCAAGTATTTTTTTGTTAAGATAGACTATTTGTTACCATGATCCCAATAGAGAGGGCCGCGATGACATTGTTCTCGATGGAGATGGCGGCGAGTTCAAGAGTTCCGAGATGGCCGGCGAAGGTCTGAGTAATGAAACCGAGGGTGTATTGGCAAATGGAGGTGAAGATGGCCGGTCCGGCGATGTACCAGAGCTTCCATGACTCAACCTTGAACTCTCTGAAGAAATCTCTAACTCCATTGATGGGCTGGATGTCATTTTCATCGACAACGAAGGACGATGTATAGAAAGAACTATTTGATGCTATCAGAATGCCGTGTGGATTATCTGGATACATTTGCTCATCTTCACTTTGGGAGAGAAGTGGCTGCTTACAATTCTCCATGAGAGAGAGACGGAGAGAGAGAACAGAGAGAAATTATGAGTACAAAGTCTTTGAAATTTTGATCAGATCCGTATTGCATGAGATATATTTATATGCTGTCTAGTCCAAGTTTATTTCTATTTTTTCCATTTGAATTATCTATAGACTATAAGTAGTCCAACTTTGACCACACACTTTGTTCCTTTTTTATTTTTCACTTTCACACCCAAAGACGTATGCATTTTTTGTCCGCGTGTCCATTGCGTTTAAATTAATAATGCAATAAACTTGAATGAGTAATTTTTTATATCCATATGCTGTAATTTAGGAGGCCGTGAAGGTTTGTAAACAAACAAACTTAAGATTGTATTATTTTTCTTTTCCTCTTGTTGATTGATTTTGGCCCCTGCTGTTTGCAAAACGAAGCGTACTGTGCTGGAAATTTCAGATTTCAGCAAGATTTGGCCTTAATCAAGCGTGTTCGGTCTACCACTATGGTTGTAGCCGTCCAACTCTTAGGTAGGCTACCTCATCTCTCTTCGTCTTATAGCACCTCTTCATTCAATTAGCTTCTTGAAATGGCAATGTATATATTTTTCAGAGTTGCAAACCTCCCCACTTGAATAAAGAAATTTTCATTGATACTTAAACAAAAAAGAGCAGAATAGAAACATAGGATTAATGTAGCCGACCCCAAATAATTGGGAAAAAGACTTGATTGTTGTATTACTTAAACATAGAGTTATTGATCCATTCCCTATTTTATTTACTATGTCTCACAGACACACACTCAAGAGAATTGATTTTGTATAATTTTAAATGACATCTTTTGTTTGACACTATTATATTTAGAAAAAAAATTGTAGTTCACTAGGTCATAGTTTCATGTTATTCTATTCTAGATGAAGGTTTAATAGTGTTTTCATTTTTTTTCATTTTGGAATTTCTTTTGAAATTTGTATGTGATAGAAGGTTATATAAATGTTAGTAAGATGTTTATACAATGGCAGAGTTGGACGAGAATATGCATGATGTTGAGGGCTTCAGCATTGTTCCCATGTTCATTTAATTCCAGAAGGCAACAGGTGTTTTGTCCAGCTGATATGGGTTGTTGGAAGAGCAGACTTGGCTTTTAAATATTTTTTTATTATTATTATTATTTTTTTTTATAAACTATTAAGTGAAAATTTATATCCCATGAGCAGGCCGGTCTCATCCTCATTATTATTATTTTTTTATAAACTATTAAATGAAAATGGAGATGATGGTCAAAAAGTAAAAGGTCTAAGCAGGAATTGTTGTTGGTTGTAATTAGGTTTAATTTTAGTTCCATTTTTGTTCACAGACCCTTGCTTTGATTTGGCATATTGATAACCATCAATGGAGGTCTCTCAGTCATCAACAAGGTGGGGAAAGACATTCACGCCGGATCAAGATGTAACAATTTGCAATTCTTGATTGAGCATCACCCAAAATCCAATTGTTGGTAACTCGCAATGAAGGACACGTGAAGTTTAGCACTTTCTAGCAATATGCAATTGGTTTGTTCCCTGTATGAAGTCCTTTAATTTGATTCTAAATTCCTGCATGAATTGTGATACCCCTCGGATCCAAGACACGGGTTGATCAGGCCCAGGCCCAAACCCGAGAGAATATCAAACAATTAATATTTAAAACGAACACGGAATACAAAATGAAATAAGAAATAATTAATAGCTTGAAGAATCTAAAATAAAATCCTTTAAAAATAAATACTTAAATCCGGTAATCCAAAACCTTCAATAGCTTAAACAACTCGAGAATCCATCTCTAGTGGACCCCTAAAAAATAATCCAAACTGAAATGAAACTACTCAAAGAACATCCAGAGTAAACCATAGAGAGAAGTCCTACGTCATCGGAAGAGTGAGTAGTAATCTCTGCTTAGCACGATCAGGTCTAAGTCTGAAATTGCCGAGTACCTAAAAAATAGAAGTGGGTCAGACCCACAAACAAGTTCTATCCTATGACAATTCAAGCAGAGACTCGATACGCATATACATTCTAACAAACTCAACAATATCTATATTTTATATATATATATATATCCACACTACAGGACTCTCACTGGACTATGCAGGGGGTCTCAACCTGAATAGAAAGCAATATACAAAGCGCACCTGGGTGGGCATGAGTACCAAAGCCTAAAAGGGTATACCTCAACCTAGCATATCCAGCTGCGCATCCTACTGCATATACGTTCCCTAACCGACGATTCTGAGACTTAAGCTCATATCGCGGTACCATAAAAATGTATTTAAAATCCTATCATATCCATCCATAAGAAATTCAGTTACTCAGTCAGTTTGTGCAGTTTCTTTAACGTAACATAGATAACAAGTAATTCAATTAGTCATTCAGCTTGTGCAGCTTCTTTGACTTAAGTATAAGTAGGATTTATTTTATAATCCATTCCCTTTATCCTATCCATCCATAAGAAATCCAGTTAGTCATTCAGCTTGTGCAACTTCTTTAACATAACATAGATAACAAGTAATCCAGTTAGTCATTCAGCTTGTGCAGCTTCTTTAACTTAAGTATAAGTAGGATTTATTTTATAATCCATTCCTTTATTCTGTGTAGGTAGGATTTAGTATTTTGAACTAATCCAAACCTAGACATTCCACTATCCCATACCGATACGTGTAATCCAACATCCAGCAGTTGATAAAACAAGTAATAAATGTAGTTATCAATTATTTCATATATCCAATAAATTGATAATAAAATATTAGATATAAACATCAATGGTTCCATATTAAGCATGGTAAAATTATATAAGTTAACAGGCTTAATGAATTCCACATCGCAAAGTCCAATAATTGATTCAACGGGACATATACGTAAAACAATTTATTCCAAGTAAGCACAACAGAATATATACTTCACAGGCTTGGTTTTTATAATACTGGAACATATTTGATTCTTTAAAAGAAACCACCCACGAGAAGTGCTATCCTGTAATACAGCGATTTCAAATCCTTTCCTCCCAGAAATAGTAACCAACTTACTTCCCAATAAGCATATTAGAATCTTTAAATTCACAAGCTTATTTTTATTACACATAGGCAGAATCAACTAAGAAAATAATACTTTAGATTGCCATTCAAAAATTTAGACAACTTAAAGTCCTTTTATCCCGAGACAGCAACTAATTTCTTTCAACCACGTCTACTGTCGGACTAAACACAAGGTTGCTTTATTCTGCATAAATCTTCTATCAGAGATTTTAATCTAGCCTACAACATCTCCAAACATCCCAATATAGCTTCTACCAGAATCTAAAAATCCCAAAATCCAAGCCCTGTAGCCCAAACAATCACTGAAAAGCCCAAAAAAAAAAAAAAAATTTGAGAGAGCCTGCTCCCTCAAAGAGGGAGCTTGCTCCATGGTCCCTAGAGCCGGCTCCATGCTTCCATGGAGCCACCTCTTTGTAGAAGAGAGCCTGCTCTCTTCAACTGAGAGCCGGCTCTCATCCGTTCCCTCACCTGTTTCGTCTCTGGTGAATTCCATTGATTCTGTCCCTCTCTGTTATAGTCTCTAATGATACTAATTAGGTTCCAACATGTTCAAGAGGTACTTAACTTCTTTATACAATCATTGACATACTTAGACATGTATTGTGTAAAAAAAATTTAAACCGATTAATTAGCCGTTTCTAACACCCATTGTTTTAAGCAACTAAATCATGCAAACCAAATTAATTTTAGTGATTCCCAGTATGTTACAGACTAATTAAACTCTTTTTACATCATTTTACATGATTTAAAACATATGTTACTCAAGAAAGAATTTAAAACAATCAATAAGCAACTTGTGAACATGAACAGTTTTAAACATCACAGACATGCAAAACGAGATTAATTTTAATCTTTGTATAATCCTGGAGTTGTATTAGTCGTGTAAAGAACACGAGCCAAAGGGAGAGAGTTAGGAATAGAACTTGCCTCTAGCCTTGCACAGTTGTCTTCCTAAGTTCTCTGGTGAAAACCACCTACTGAAATCCTCCTTTGTTCTCTCTCTGTCTCCACAATCGTGAATAGGGTTCTAAAACCCTAACTAGACGTGTAGTACATATTTATAGACAATAATACCTAAGTCCAACTAAACCCTAAACCTAAACATAATCGGCCCATAACAAAACTTATTTTTTAATACACGCTAAGTCTGCTACCAATTTAATAAAACAAAATTAATTAATTAAATAATATAATCAATTCAACAGATTAATCACCAAATAAAATAAAACAGTTAAATACATGATTAAACAGGTAAAGCAAACCAACTAAAAAAACAATTAAATAATTAAGCAAATACGCAATTAATCACACAAAAATAAAATAACTCAAGAAATAAAATACCGAGACTATCCTTTTAAAATTAGGAGTATTACATGAATGGTAGTATGTTTGACAATCAAAGTAAAGGCAATGGACGGTGTTGTCGAAGCTTTTTTTTTTTTGTTGTGTTTCCTATAAACATCTGCTTTGGAATCCTTTTTTAAAGGAGGCAGAAAAATGGTGATAATGATCTTTAATGGTGCTGATTTTTGTTTTTGGTTTGGCTAATTAGGCTTGTTTGATTGCTTTGAAAGTGTTTGAGAGAGGAAAATGGTAGTTAAAAATGATAGTTGAAAAAAAAATTGATGATTGTGTCAAAAAATAGTAATTTGAATAAAATGCACCATTGGAGTAGAATTGCTAAAATATAGCATTTTGACACTGTAGTACCTCTCAGAATATAGCTTTGGTTTTGCATTGGAGATATATGGTCTTAATTGCTCAAGAAAATAGTTGTACATCATGGAAATAAATATCTTATTTTAGTTGTGTCTCGGGTTAGAAACTTAAAATAAAAAATGTTACTTAAATTACTGGTCACAATGCATTACGTTCTAGAAATGTATATAACACGTTATATCATTTTCATTTCTTTTAATTTGTAGATAGTGAATTGCTAATTGATGTAATCGGTTGAGAAGAATTGAATCTGAA